ATTGCGGGAATCGGTGCGTGGCCCGCCCTGGCCACAGATATCCCACCAGCGCCGCCGAGGATGCGATGATGCGCAGGCAGTCGTCGTGTGTGGGAAGTACGCTGCATTGTTCTCCCCCGAGCAGCCCCAGTCGCCGAGTTAGGCGGGGATACGCCGCAGAAGCGGAAGCAGACTTGGTGGGCGGAAGCAGAGAGTGGGGGACGCGTGAATCAGCCGCGCGCCGAGCTCCGAGTCGGCCACGTTCCCCGGCGCCAGATTCGCGCTTGTCCCCTTTTGGCAACTACGTTCGGGGCCGCAGTCGGCCACTCGCCCGTCGCCGTCGCCCGCAGTCTCCTCAGCCTCTCACCGTCTCTCCCTTGCCTCTCTTGGCGCGCAGACAGCGCGGCCTCTCCCGCTCTCAATCAATGTGGCGTCTCGTGCACCTCGCCGTCAAGCGTAGGTTCCAGGCAACGAGTCTGCGTCCGTCATTATTCTGAACCCGCTCGACGATACATGATGTCGCCAACGCTTACGTCCCACAAAACCATTCAACATCCACTCCCGCTCGCCCTTCATCTTATGTGTGACCCCTTCCAACCTTCATACAACGCTCACTTCCCTATACTACTGGCAGGTCGTCCTCCGGGGAGGTGGATGACCTCATGCGATATGCATGTCGCGCGAACGCTCGAGAACCGCTGTGCCGTGGGCGTTCTTCGTCAGAGGCATTCTAATATATCTTAAGTCTCCTTCACAGCACAGTTCACGTACCAGTATGCAGCTTCCCGATCGTCAGAGCCATCGCTAGGATGACTAGTGTCGCTATGACCACGACCATCCATCCGCCGTGTTCATTCTCTCCGCCATCGGGCTGGGATTCGCCCCTCTTCCGTGCAACCGAATTAAGTGCGTGAGGCATTCTCATGTACGCTACCTCTGGACGATGGGGGTTATCCTCTATGGCCTGTATATGAAGGCATCTTAGCCATTCGCGCGACTTCCGTGCATGCCAATCTCGTCCTTACCTCGTCGTCTGCCCGGTGCACGTGGAGCTCCATGATTTCATCGATGTTGTATCTGCGTTCCATGATGTTCTCGATGTCGTAACCCGGCAGGAGGTACCCTAACAGCCTAGCGTTCAGACGACCACGGTACAATCTTGGGAAACAATGGCACTCACAAAGGACAGTATCGCGGAACAAATCTCCCAACTTCCGGTTGGTAAGGATGAACTCGGCTTCATATCGTGAAGCAGATCCTCTTTTGGCAACCTCACAGAGGTGGGGTGATTAGCTGTGGCGACAGCAGTGGAGCACACTCCGTACTTACTACAAAGCCACCTGGAAGATTGAGATCAGGAAACGGCCGTCCTGAACCTCCTTCGGTGCCAGGCAGCGAGAGATGGTCAAAGAGTTGCATCGTACGTGCAAGCCTCTCGCTGTCCTGGATGCCTCGACGCGTTTCCAGGGAGTGAGGCAGACGATATGGGCCCGGCAGGTCCCCGTAGGTGATCTATCGGGTGTTTGGATGAGCGTAAGATCGAGTTCGGTGGGGCGAAGGCATACCGTAGCCGTGAGCGTCCTGTTGGAAGGGATCGCCACAGCAGGGAACAAAGACGAATTCGAGACTGGTTGAGCTGATTCAGGAGCTTCAAATGGCTGGTGGGTCTCTTCGGTCTCTTCGACATCATGCGCCGGATCAATGGCGTCCATGTTCGTCTTCACCAAAAATTGTCAAGGACGGGGATGATGCGGTGGGGGAGCGGCGCAAGATGAGAGACGACGGAGAGATTGGCGTCGGCGGAGGTGGCAGGAAGATAGAGGGCGAGGTCACCCGGATTCCCTCGCAAACGGCACGTTCCATACGGATGACGCAAGCGTAGCCTAGACAGCACGTTGCTTGACCACGCCCACACCAGGACTTGCGGTGGTGAACACGCGACATTGATATCGAGTCGGAGCCGGCTGGCAGTCCGGGGCTGCCGACCCGTTACTCCAGAGCCGAGGGCGCAGTCCTTTGTCCTGAACACGAGTATGGAGCACGATCCCGAACAATCGCGTCAACTAACCTTATGAAGGTTGCACGTACTCGAGAGTCCCCTCTCCGGCAGTTCATGAAATCGCTTTCCTCGTCCCATGGTAGGCATCCGGTCACATCTTGTGACATCATATCACGTATCCGGAGGCAGCGAGCTGTGACCTTAGCAGCGTCCTTCATACCACTTCGTGTTCACTAGCGGCGCCGTGAGAAGGTAGTTTACTCCGAAATTGATTTCTCATGCTTCATGAACTGCGTAATTT